TCAGTGGGGTGCTCAGCGAGCTGGGATCCCCGTTCGATAAAAAAATATATATATATATATATATATATATATATGCGCACCTCATCTCGCAGCTGGCTCAGTACGTTCACTGAAAAAAAAAAGATTTGTTAGATTTACTTGATTGTAATGTGTACATCGGTCCCACACAATGATAATGTGTAAAACCAACAATTTTCTTTATGTTAACAGAGGAAATATGAATGAATTGCGTTGCATATATAATTTGTGTAAATCCGAAGACCCGGTGTTTCCTTTTTTCAGTGTTCCCTCGCGAAAGCTGCCTGACCTCTGTGTGGAGCAGCAGGCCCTGGTGCTCTGATCCCAGTTCGTTACAAAGAACGGCAAAAAGCCGTGCGTGAACAGCCTCCGTAGGGGCAAGGTAGGGACCCAATTAAAGAGCCAGTCTTGGGGAGTAACAGAATGTAAAAATAGTCCGTGCCGCAGAGCTCAGGAGTAAAGGAGAGCAGGCAAAGCAGGCAAGAATAGGGCGAGGCAGATACACAGATCAGGAGTCCAGGCGGGGCGGTCAACAAGAGACCAGTCCAAATAACAGGGGCAAGGCTAATACAGGCAAGGTTTCGGATCTCAGAATATCAAGCACAATAACGCTGGAGAGTCTAGGCTAAAGCAAAGAACAATCTAGCAGGTTACTGGTGGGAGAGCTTAAATAGGGGTGAAAACCGGTGCAAGTAATGGAGGAGCAGGTGCATCTGATGTGAGTGATGAACCAAAGCTCCAGGCAGGGTGAGCCGGGGACAGGAATTCCTTTTAAAAGAGGAGCGGGTAGGACCATGACAAGTGGACGTGATTTTATGTAATTGACCATTTTTACCGCAGTTTCAAGAACATAATTAAGCTCTGTCCAGTGTTTTGGTAGCAAGAGCTTCTGATGGATAACGCAGTGCGTAAAATTGATGTGAGGTGCCACTTGCATGACTCTTGCTTTTAGTCCTTTCTTTTTTCCCAGCATTACACCTGCACCATCTGTGCACACAGCAATGCATTCGTTCCATGACAGACCCTGTTCTTTTAGATTTGTGTCAAGTTTATTGAAAATATCCTCACCTGTGCAAGTCCCTTCCAGCTGGGAGCAAAAGAGCATCTCTTCGTTACGTTTTCCCTCAAAAATATATCTAACGAAAGCAAGGAGCTGGGCAGCATCTGATACATCAGTAGATTCATCTAATTGTAAAGCATATCTCCCCTTCTTTACTCTTTCAATCAGCTGAGACTTGATGTCCTGAGCCATGTCTGTGATGCGACGGGCAACAGTCCCGTCACTTACGGCACTGACTCCAGCTCAGTGGCCCGTTTATCTCCATGCATAACCTGGCTCATCACTACAGCCGCAGGGTTAATTAAAGCTTTCCTTTCATGTACCAGAACCTACACACTGGGGATGTTGTGCCTCGTTTATAACGATGCATGTGAACCCATATTTGATACATTCTTCTCTATATTTTCTGGGTTTTAAGAGGGGGCGCTCCGATTGTTGGCGCACATGGTGTTTATGGATTTTGGCGGGCTTTACCGGAGGTAGATATGGGGCGCCAAATGTAAAAATAGCACTTACACCAGTTTTCTCACATTTTTTTGATTTGATTTGATTTATTCTTTCAAACATGCAGAACAAACGACATCAACACACACATAATTATACAAATCCAACCAATGCTGATTCAGAATCAGTTTGCTTATAACTAGTACATGTTTGAATGGAGTAGGAAGAAGTCAGACTTATCCAGTCCTACCCCATAACATCATCTTATACAAAAAATTTCATGCATCATTGGCTGCAAGCAGTATCTCTACATAGGTGATTCATTTCTGCACCAGACAAGTAAAACACAGAAAATATAAAACAGTGTTTCCTTCCTGCATTCTTGATTCAATCTCTTATTCTTGCATGTATCTTGAATGACACATACATTTATATTTATATTTAAACTCCACAATTCTAGTACTGTTTTTCATGTCCACACTTAAATTATTCCATAATTTGACCCCACTTATAGAAATACAAAATCTTTTTTTGGTTGTATGTATAGCATGAACTTTTAGATTTAACTGACCCCTTAAATTATATCCCCCTTCCCTTTCATCAAATTCATCAAATAACTTTTGGATTCCACCAGGTTAATAAGTCGTTCCTGGCTTTATACATAAACACCGCGGTCTTATATCCCACTAAATCAAAGAATTTTAACAATTTAGACTGTATGAAAGCTCCATTGGTGTGATCCATATACCCCTTCTTATGCACAATTCTTATCGCTCATTTAGCTGAATGTGACAACACGTTTTCTCACATTTAGCTAAATGTGACAAAGTCTAAATGTAAATGTTAAATGTCTCGCCAATTGTAAAACTGAATATTTAGTAGCTCCACAGCCTCGCCCCATTACAGCGCAGCACACAGCCCCGCCCATGATGCTGAACTTGAATCAGTGATGCTGACTCAAAGACCTCAAACACAGAGTCAGGTGTGTGCTGCGCTGTAATAGGGCAAGACTGTGGAGCTATACATACTGTAGGAAGACAACCGTGAGTGCCGACGAATAGTCGCTTTTTTATTAACTCCACACAACCGGTTACTGTTGGCCGTAACCACGCCAAAACAACAGCCCAACAACACCAAGAACAAAGATTAACAACCTGCTAACACCCTCTGTAGCTCAAACCCCCTCCACACTTCTCTCCCTCCCGCTCTCACACCACTTAACCCCTGAAGCGCCACACCCATCAAGGAACCATAACAATTTAGAACATCATAACATGCCAAGTGAAGGATCACTACACTATTCAGTTTTACACTTGGCGAGACATTTAACATTTACATTTAATATTTAACATTTACATTTAGACTTTGTCACATTCAGTTGAATGTGAGAAAACTAGTGTAAGTGTTATTTTTACATTCGGCGCCCCATAGGTAGATGGCATTTCTAGCTGCTGTGCTTCTCTTTCCTCCACCATCATGTCCGTCGGCTTCTCCGCCGGGTTGTCTCCCAGTTTCCCCGCCCGCTCCTCCGCTGGTCTCTCTCTATTGTCTTTTGTTGATAACATCCACTGTTTCATTCTAGTGCAAAAAAACTAACACTAACTACATTAGAAACAGATGTAAGCTAAAAAAGTAGCTGTCGTGGTCGCTTGTCACTGTGGTTTTGTAAATAGATGCATGCTTGATGGTGTCGTTCATCTGTCATAATCATCTCCCGTTAGAGACATAGTATTTAGGCTTAATATTTCTACTGTTTTTGTTATTTTAAATAAACATGTTTATGTCCATATTATGCAGTTTATTATGAAAAAAAACATTACCAAAATATATGAAAGCAAATTTGCAGTTTCTCAGTGGAAATGCAGTCTAGTTTACATTATGACTGGGAACCATCCCGCGACCCCCACTTTGGGAACCACTGGTTTAGAGAAGGGATGGGCTGCTCCCTTCTCTCACAGGTCAGCTGTGTGTTTACACATGGTGTTTGTAATGCTAAGGCTTGAGGTGTGAAGACACAGACAATTAACTAATTAATGATGAAGTCCTTAAGGTCCAGTATAATTTCAAATGACTGGATTGTTTCCTAATCCAAACTCTGCCTCTCCCACACTCACAGGCATGACTTGCCTGGGTGTAACCGCTTTAGCAATTATTTACAGAAATGACAGTACATGGTCTCGTTTTACACCATGTCAACTTCCACCTTCAGTCCAACTACCTCTACTTAATATCTTTGTGTAGTTTACTGTTTATTCTGGTATACAGACTACCACTGCGCAAGGGGTTTTTCTTCCTCTTCATAGTGTAAAAAATATTATATTTATAAAAGAATACATTTACTGTACCTAGATCTTTATTGTCCTCACACTTACTATTACTGGTTGGTGTCTCAGATAAGCAGGGACTGTTCAGCTAGTGGTGCCCAGAGTTCAAACCAAATAAGGTTAAAGTGCTTTTAGCCATGATGCTGCCCACAGCTGGAACCAGCTCCCATTAGAACTTAGATCTGCCCCAGTTGGAGTCACTTTTAAAACTAAACTAAAGATTGTTTTTTCCTCACATAATCCCAGCCAACTTTATCTGCTTTTATTTTTCTTCCATTATCCAATGACCAATTGACTCCATTGTGCCATTTTTCTGACTGTATAGACACTGACGTGTCTAATTCCTGGTAGGAAGTACTGATGTTTAAGTACTCAGATGTTAGTCTTGGGAAGACTGAAGTAAAGGGGTACAAATATAATGACAACGGTGAGAATCCACAGCAAGCTAGTGAAAGCACCAGGTCTCTTCACTTGCAAGCTGCTACTTTGTGCTGTCATGTCATTGTTGCTTTTAATGTTTTAATCTAATTGCGTTCAGATGTTTTGAAATATATATATGCATTTTAATGTTTTAGTTTTTGTGTGAATTTAAATATTTTATCTATTTACATGCACTGTGTTAAGCACTTTGAATTGTATTTCTGTATGAAAATGTGCTATATAAAAAACAAGCCTTGTTTTGCCTATTATTTATTATGTTCTTATATTAACAAAACACAGGGCTGCTCCCTCACAAATCCTAGTTCGTGTGTGAACAGATCAGATCTTTGTTATTTCTGCTGACGCTGAAAGACAAAGCAGTGATTCATACCTGGCTTACATGCTATGCTCATCCCTTTCATTCCTGTCACATTTAACACACTATGCTTGTGGAGCAGTAATAATCATCATAATCACCTTTATTTGGCCAAGTATGTTACAAGGAATTTGTTTCCGGTATAGAACCGAGGCAGCCATCTGCGGCACCTAACCATCGGGGGAAACTTGGGGGTTCAGTGTCTTGCCCAAGGACACTTCGACACGTGGACTGCAGGCACCGAGGTTCAAACCTCCAACCCTCTGGTTGGGAGATGACTACTCTACCCACTGAACCACAGTCACCTTCACAATAATGTTGTAGTTTAACAGTGTTTCATTAAAGTGCTGAGTTTACTTTGTGGAAAGTTCAGAAGTCATACTCTGTGGCAGTGTTTTAATGGAGTGCATTTGGCTAGAAATGTGCATCGTTTTGTCAACTAGACAAACAAAGACATTTTACAAAAATGTAAGCACATAAACTCACATCACGCTGTCACAGGCGCAGCAACCTGTAACACCATCAATTTTAATTTGTTGATGGGTGTTTGTGTGTTATACCTCTGACATCTGTGTGGCTGTGTTGCCTCTGGCCCCTAGCATCACCATAGCCAGGGCTGAGGAGATGCTAAACGGAGAAAAGAAGACATTTGCAGTCTTGTCTTCATCCGCCAGGTTTTTGAACAAAGCCAGGCAGAAGCTGGCGTTGGCCTGGGATAGAAGGCTTGGTGATGCCATTGTATCTACAAAGAAAGGAGTGTAGAGCATCGATCATTACATTGCAAACTCAATGCTTTTATCTTTTTATCTTGTTAGTATTCCATTTTCTGGGCTAAACTCCACTGACACGTTAGATTCTGAATGTAAATACCTGACAGACAATATAATAAAACTATTTCTAAACCGGTAATAGTAATAACTGGTAACCGGTAATGATGAAATAATTTATTTGAAAGAACTCTTTCAAATAAATATAGTATGATTTTGATTTGTGCTACCAACACTATATTCTATGCATAGGTCGACCAGGTTCAACTAGGACCTGTAAACTCTGTCCCATTTAAATCTGTTGAATAGAAAATGATATGTACAGCCTTTATTATTATTATTATTGGGGTTAACCTACATAAACTCTCTGCAAACTATATAATCAAATCCTTCTGTTTGACTAAAACGCACATTTTACTCACCCATAGTGATGTTCCCTCTGATACCAAGGCTCCAAAGCAGGCTTCAAACTCCACGGGATATTTTTGTATAGGACTGTGCCAGAGCTTGCTTCAAATAGGGAAAAACCACATGACTGATGATGTCTGAACCACTTCCTTGCTTCCTTCAGACTGAATCAGCTGACCAGTTTGGTTCGATAGGCGGAACTTTGAAACATTGGTGAGATACAGATTTGTTTAAGATGGATGAAACAGTGCTCTGTGTCTCATCTCCTGTCAATACGTTTTGGATTGCCTCGCTATGGAGCCATCAAGGAAACATGTGGGAACATTCTCTCAAAAAAAGAGAAACTGACCAAACTGTGGAGAAACCATTATTTTTGAATAAAAATGTCTAAGTCACACAAGCACACTTTATTATGTTCTTATATTAACAAAACACAGGGCTGCTCCCTCACAAATCCTAGTTCGTGTGTGAACAGATCAGATCTTTGTTATTTCTGCTGACGCTGAAAGACAAAGCAGTGATTCATACCTGGCTTACATGCTATGCTCATCCCTTTCATTCCTGTCACATTTAACACACTATGCTTGTGGAGCAGTAATAATCATCATAATCACCTTTATTTGGCCAAGTATGTTACAAGGAATTTGTTTCCGGTATAGAACCGAGGCAGCCATCTGCGGCACCTAACCATCGGGGGAAACTTGGGGGTTCAGTGTCTTGCCCAAGGACACTTCGACACGTGGACTGCAGGCACCGAGGTTCAAACCTCCAACCCTCTGGTTGGGAGATGACTACTCTACCCACTGAACCACAGTCACCTTCACAATAATGTTGTAGTTTAACAGTGTTTCATTAAAGTGCTGAGTTTACTTTGTGGAAAGTTCAGAAGTCATACTCTGTGGCAGTGTTTTAATGGAGTGCATTTGGCTAGAAATGTGCATCGTTTTGTCAACTAGACAAACAAAGACATTTTACAAAAATGTAAGCACATAAACTCACATCACGCTGTCACAGGCGCAGCAACCTGTAACACCATCAATTTTAATTTGTTGATGGGTGTTTGTGTGTTATACCTCTGACATCTGTGTGGCTGTGTTGCCTCTGGCCCCTAGCATCACCATAGCCAGGGCTGAGGAGATGCTAAACGGAGAAAAGAAGACATTTGCAGTCTTGTCTTCATCCGCCAGGTTTTTGAACAAAGCCAGGCAGAAGCTGGCGTTGGCCTGGGATAGAAGGCTTGGTGATGCCATTGTATCTACAAAGAAAGGAGTGTAGAGCATCGATCATTACATTGCAAACTCAATGCTTTTATCTTTTTATCTTGTTAGTATTCCATTTTCTGGGCTAAACTCCACTGACACGTTAGATTCTGAATGTAAATACCTGACAGACAATATAATAAAACTATTTCTAAACCGGTAATAGTAATAACTGGTAACCGGTAATGATGAAATAATTTATTTGAAAGAACTCTTTCAAATAAATATAGTATGATTTTGATTTGTGCTACCAACACTATATTCTATGCATAGGTCGACCAGGTTCAACTAGGACCTGTAAACTCTGTCCCATTTAAATCTGTCGAATAGAAAATGATATGTACAGCCTTTATTATTATTATTATTGGGGTTAACCTACATAAACTCTCTGCAAACTATATAATCAAATCCTTCTGTTTGACTAAAACGCACATTTTACTCACCCATAGTGATGTTCCCTCTGATACCAAGGCTCCAAAGCAGGCTTCAAACTCCACGGGATATTTTTGTATAGGACTGTGCCAGAGCTTGCTTCAAATAGGGAAAAACCACATGACTGATGATGTCTGAACCACTTCCTTGCTTCCTTCAGACTGAATCAGCTGACCAGTTTGGTTCGATAGGCGGAACTTTGAAACATTGGTGAGATACAGATTTGTTTAAGATGGATGAAACAGCGCTCTGTGTCTCATCTCCTGTCAATACGTTTTGGATTGCCTCGCTATGGAGCCATCAAGGAAACATGTGGGAACATTCTCTCAAAAAAAGAGAAACTGACCAAACTGTGGAGAAACCATTATTTTTGAATAAAAATGTCTAAGTCACACAAGCACACCCAGTGTACACCAAGCACAATCAAAAACATATTATAATAACATTAATTACATCCACAGCCTTATTGAACCCTGTAAATATTTGCTCTATCCAGTGTGTAATGTGGGATCAATAATTATAAATCCATGAACACGCAAGGTGCGTTAGCAACACCTTTGCAAGGCTGTACAACAACCACTCTTCCAGCAGATGTCACCCACATGCTCAGTGAATGAAGCCTTGAGTATTGAACCAATTTTGGGCAAGCTCCCAGTCAAACCCTCCAACTTCAATAAATCAGCCCTTATGAGCTGGTCTCTATTGTACAAGTCCAACTACTCTCCTCATAAATATTTTTTAGGGAATAATGCCAATATCACTTACAACAACAAATTCTTGTTCTTTGAAAACTGGTTTGACAATAACATTCTACTTGTAAAGTAGCTGTAACTGTGATGGAGTTCTATTGTCATATGAGCATTTCATAGCCAAGTACAGGGTTCCTGTCTCCCAGCATGAGTATAATACTGTTATCAATGCACTTCCGTCTGGCATTCTCTGTTTAGCACGCTCCTTCTCAAACACACACAACTCTATCAATTTAGATATTGCTGTTAATGGCACCTCTATCTTTGATAAAAGATTCAACAACATCTTTATAAAAAACTCCCTCATTCCAAGAACAACAACAGCTGTTAAACATAAATGGGCATGCCAGACTCTTGATGGAAGAACATGGAACACTGTTTTTACTTTGCCCTACAAATGTGTCTTGTCAAACAAAGCTGAAGAACTTTCGTTTAAAATCTAAACATAAATTTTACCTGATAAACTCCATTATTTGTAAATACATTTCAAACATAGAAGAAAAATGCTCCTTTTGCAACAATGAGCTAAAAACTCTAGACCATCTTTTTTCCCCCAGTGTGCACATGTGACACCTTTAGAGTAGTTTAGAACAGGTGGTAAACAAAACAAAAACCCTCTGGCAGAGAGCAGCTGAAAAGAATTATTTATTTTTTACAGGAAAAATGTTAACTGTGCAGACTTTTCAAACATTTAAATAGTCTTTATCATCTGTGTTTTTATTGAGCAACTTAACAGTATCTTTTCCGTTTGTGTAGACATAGCGCCAGTTTTTCCCAGATATGTCAAAAAAATGTTCCAACTAGCAAAATAATTTTAAGGATTTTAAACTATTATTTCGACAATTTAATTTCTTAAAGAACAGTGAAATCTCAAACTCAGTAAACAAACAAATTTTGCTCATTACTACTTAACAACTACTGCCTTTTCAAAAGAGGTGGTCATGGTATAAACTTGTTGTGTAAAGCACAGGCTTTTTATCGTGGAAATTAAGTGACAGTGACAATGAGAAAACACACGGTACCCACTGACAGACACTCTTCTGTAAGTCAGCAAATGATCTGTAACTTTTCCGTCCCGGGAAACTATTCTTTAGACCCATCTCTGTGTTACTGGGTGACTCACGGCTGACACACCCAGGCTCGAACAGGTCTGGCTGCATAGCTGCAGCTTGTCTAGAGAAAGTGACTACTGGTGTTGGTGTTGCATATGTATTCCCGGTGTGTTTGCCCATCCTCGGCGGCGCACAGCCATTTACCGACAGTTTCTACACCACCACAACCACGGAGCTTGATTTTAGTTAATGTAGTTCTCCTCTGAAGTTAAATTGTGTATATAAAATAGAACTGACAGATTTCTGATCATTAAAGCCTGAAACATTATGCTACATTACAGGTGCTCATTGAGCACAGCTGTACTATTTCTTTAACTGCCCAGTAACATTATTTTGTGTTATAGCGCCATCACCTGTGAAAGCACGGCTATCGTCGAATTCAAGCCTGCTAACATGAACGGGACAGGGGAGGAAATGCAGTGGATAAACAGCTACAGGTCAATAAAACATCCGTCAGTTACTCAATATGTGCATGAGTAAATATAACAGTTTTCTGAAGGTGAAGGATATATACCTCCTACGGTAAGCGAAGGTCCTTGTCATAGTGCGTTATGTTAGCGTTGTCCACATATTGTTCCCGTCCGACAGTAGCTCACTAGCTAACGTGAACGTTATGTCATGTTAGTTTCTATTAGCGGGATAGAGGGCACACAGAATGACGTTTCAAAAGTGTATAGGTTAAGTGAAACGGTATTTATTAATGGATAAATAGCAGCAAGAAATTAATAGAAAACATTTTTCAAACTATTGGTAATTATTGCTCGATTCGGGATAAAGCACATATTGAAATGAGCTTTTATCTAAAGACAGTTTTAGCTAGCCTACTTTTTTGCGAGTGCTGGGACCGGTAGGGGCTAGTAACGTTAAGCTACTGTGATAAACACGAGTCTTGCTGGTTTTACACTGAAAATGTTTAACTATTACAAGCCAAAAGTCTTAGCTGTTAACGTTACCTACTAGTTGGACATGAAACGTCACATTAGCTAAATAAGAATGCGACAGGAGTGGGGACTGGTTCTTAAAGGGATGTCATAAATCGCAGTTAGCTAGTTAGCTTGCTAACCTCACCTGTTAACAGCTCCTAGGCTCTCAGACTGAACAACAACAGCTATGCCAGGTTTTCCTTTATCATTTCTTTTGCAGCATTCACCAGGATGCAGACTTTTATTGGAACAAATGGACAAAAGCAAATGTTGCACACTAGTTACCTGATGAATTTTGCAGGCTTTCCACCGTCTTTTTTATATATAATGCACAAATCCATAACTCGTGATTTGTGGCCCATATCAGTAATTCATCTGCCCTCATCGTGGTACCCTTATTTAACGATAATGGTTGCTGACAGATTGTGCTCTGTGTAAGTTCAGGGGGAATTTTGAGGAACCCATTATGCACTTTATATTTAAGCAACATGTAGTCTGTAAAATCATAACGTAATGTAAATACAAAATTATTATTTGTGTGCACAGGGTGTTTAGAGTCTTTGTCAGCCTCTGAGCGTGAGTATCACTGCTTCACTCCATCATCACAGAGTACCACTGAAGCCTTGTTGACTACAGTGGTGGCGGGGCAGGAGTCCACAGCTCAGGATGGCGTCACCCTTTGTACCTGTCCCGGTGCCCATGGACAGAGCCTTGCCGGGTGGTAATGACAAGCTTAGACATCCACAGCGAGCTTCATCACTAGGTAGCATCTCCAGCAGCTCGGAGTCTTCTTCCTCTTTCACCAGGATGTCCAGGGAGGACCCTGTATTAGGCTCCCAGCACCAGTCTCGCTGCATGGACGGAGGCAGCCACAGCTGGGCACCTCCACCCCTCCAGCGCCCCATGGTACAGACCAAGATCAATGGGACTCTGGAGCCCTCTGTGGAGTACATCAGCTGCCCACGTTCCCTGTCAGATCCCACTGGGAGCCAGCAAGGCGAGGAGAGGCCTATCACCCCCACTGTGCTTGGATATGAGGTCATGGAAGAGAGGGCCAAGTTCACGGTATGATAGAAAATCACCTAACATCATAATAGACTTTTGGAAGGTGTGTAGTATCTGTAACACAATTCCCCAGCCAAGTGATCTGACTGAAGTTTAAAGCTGCATTAACTAACATCTCCCTCTCATTTATTACTGTTAAGGGCAAAGTGAGAGTCAAAACAAACTCAAGCAGTATCCCCTCCTCTTCTCCCTTTGCTCTTCTTTGCCCCTCCCTCCCTGTCTGTGAAACTACTTCATATGGTCACGACAGCCAGAGACAGTTGTAGCAGTCAGGTAGCGCAGCACAGCTGGCTCCAGAACTAATGTATACAGACTATAGAACCCATAGAGCCTGTGGTTTTTAGTGGCATTGCAGTGACACAATGTCATATAAAGAGGTTTACATTTTAGTGATGTGCACACGTCTGATGTGTGTAGTGGATGTATCTGAAGAAGTACAAGCAAAGTTGCATACTTGACACATGATGATATAAAGTAACCGTTGTATGTGAAATGAGAGAATTTACATGTTATGCTTTGATAGTTGAAGAAACTTTCTACATTTCTGGTTGGTTTATTCTTGGTGGTGTAAATTTTAACAACTCACTAAAGTGCTACATGGACCCTAGTGCTATGTCCCACATAAACTGGACCAAAAATTAGCAAAATCTGTGGGGGCATGGAAGAAGTGCGGTACAGGGGGGGAGAAAAGAATGCAAGGGCTGAAGATAGTGGGGTGGGGGTTAGTATAGCAGGGAGACAACACTTCTAGACTATGTTTTACTTGATTTATCCAAATCTGTACTAAATCTTTGTTATTCCTGTTTTAAATGATTCATTATTTAGCCTATACTGACATGGAGGTGGCAGCATGTGAGCCTATTTCTCTGTGTACATACACTTGTACTAACAGGACACATCTTTAGCGAAAATGTGTTTTAAAAGCAGGAGGAGTTCTCAGTAGGTTTTGTTCAGTCCAACACTGAAGTTGAATTTTGGGATATAACTGTGGGCTGTGTTGAGGAAAGAGGAGGGCATGAATAATTAGCATTTATATTGTATGACAGCATGTCAGTGAACAGCCTGGGGGCCCCTTCATATCTCCTTGGCAAAGGAGACAACATGACTTTACTCTTCAGTTATTTTATTAGTGGATATTTTATGTGTACTTGTTTTAAGCACCTGCCAAAAGGCAACAGCTCTATACTTGAGCAGTTTTTAATAGTGTATGTGTGTCTTGTCTTTTCTCTGTTGTAGGTGTATAAGATCCTGGTCAAGAAGACACCGGATGAGAGCTGGATTGTTTTCAGAAGGTACACAGACTTCTCCAGGCTAAACAACAAGGTGTGCTGTGTCTCTCTCTATATGTATATGGTTGTGTGAAATGTATGGCCAGCCACAGATTTTTAAGACCATCTTCAAGCTCAACTTTGTGATCATCCATCCATGTTCGGAGGCAGTTTTTGACTATTGACCCTCTTGCTTACTGCATCCTTTCTATGTATGTATGTATGTATTTATTTATGTATTTGTGCTTACTGTGGAAGCAATAAGAGCTACACGAAGAACAAGCAACTAACAGACCCAAGTCCAATATGGAACAGGTCTCTTGTAAATTCAGGAGGGACGGTTTGGACACAGATCACAGAAAAGAAGAAATATTAAGCCATGTGATGATGGTGTTTGAAGAAAAGGAGCCTGCAATGATAAATAAATATTGATCAAACCTACTAAAGTAACACAGTTTTAAAACAGGTGGAACCTATTTAGACAAAGTAATCCTAGGTAATCCTAAGAATAAATTGAAGAAGCAGGATGAGGACAGGCATGGGGTGTGGACATCCTTCATTCCTGTGGATTTTCCATAAAGGCAGCTCTGCTGTAACTTAGAAGCCTCGTGGGCCGTCTTTTAATTGGTTGGAAATGTTTCAGCATCAGGTGCATGTTAATCATCTTGGCACACTAACACAAACATGGAAGTTATTCCTCTGAGTAATTATCAAGAAGTATTGCAAAAAAAAAACTGTTATGTTAGAGTCATGCTGCATATGAACCAAATAAAACATGCACATGTAACTGAGAATAACTGGCATAGATGCCTGGCATGGTCAATAAGCACTGTTTCCACACTGTGTGGCTGGCTTCGAACATTGTTTTTAGTACTTTGAATCTCATCCAACAGTGCTCCGCTGTTAAACTTTTGCACTTTTCTCAGGCGTGTGAAAAAAGTAGGTCTGCGTACATGCATACATACACCAACTCACCCGCTGAGTTAACTGATGTGAGAGCAGTCACAGTATCTGCCAAAGATGACCTCATGCAGTGAAAAATTCTTTTAATCTGTAAATTTCCAAGGATTTCTTGAATGTTACCATTCTGTTGATGAGGTAAACACAGACAGACACAATGCCTTACCCCTGAGCAGCTATGGGGGAGACCACGGTGAAATTTCAGAAGTTGCATGGTTTTATATGCAAGTGTGGGTTCTCATGTCAGGGTCAGAGCTCAGAATGAGGTTAGGGATTATACAGGGGGTATCAATAGTGTATTTTTGTTCTCCACTGCCATGACTGTGGGAACCGTTTGTGACACAGTTTACATCAGAGTTTTTCAGAAGCATTGAGGCTTGTTGCTATGACTCATAAATATTTTAGTGTTTTTATGTGGATACTCCATCTTGTGTGTTATTCATTGCAACACAACATTCTGTACTGTACACTGTATTTACCATGGGATACTGCACTGTTGACTCTACGTTCATGGCAGAGAAGTACAGGGTGAATGTTGAACTAACGCAATAGCAGCTTGAGGCTGAAGCATTAATGATCTTATATTTTCAGCACTTATTAGCTCATCACAGATATACTGGTACTTGTGTATATGTCTACCAACAAGAAATTACAGAAATGCCAGTATATCTTTGAGATAACAGACAGTGTTGCCATTATATAGTTTGTCCACCAGACGGTGCTGAATTATTATTCTTTTTTGACTGTAAAATGTATCACTTGCTATCTTACATCTTATTAATACCCATTTTTTTAAGGATGGTTAAAATCCAAAAACTCATGGGTCCAGTTCTACATGGCAGCAGGACGGCATAGTGTGTTACACAACCAGTAACACCAATACTTAAGCTGACTTAATGAAAATATGCCTTTTTTATAGCAGATATTTTGATTCTTTGTGGTAGGAAAAGCATTGATGTTACTAACAACAATGGCACGGTGGCTTTCCTACTACGGCACATCAAAGTGTCCTCCCTGGACAAAGCCTATTCAGCTTGGCAATAAAGGGAAACAATCTCTCCTCAGGTTTCCTTGTAACATAATATTAAAAGCTAATTTCTACTTTTAGGCCTTTGAAACAAAGTCTTGTTCATAAAAAAACTGTGTGTAACTTTTTGAAACATTTTTAATGCAGGCAATTTCAAAAATCCACCAACAGTGGGGACCATAAATATGAGAAGTAGCTTATTTGTGACACCCTTACATGGTTATTTAGTAGGAAATGCAGGTTAGAGGTGGAGGACAACACAACTACATCCTGATTTGCTTCAGTGCTTATTTTATTAGGGCATATAATGCAAACTTTTCTCACAGTCTCTGCACTGAAGTCACTCTTTTACCACCTCTGTCTCTGCATTATGTTTGTGCATGTCAGTAAAGTCATTGTCTTTACCACTGAACATAACTGTATGCAGGAGAGATCATGTGATACTCATTCACTATGTGTGTGTCTGTGTTGTAGCTGAAGGAGATGTTTCCAGGCTTCCGCCTCTCGCTGCCTCCAAAGCGGTGGTTCAAAGACAACTATGACAGTGATTTCCTAGAAGACAGACAGATGGGCCTGCAGGCCTTTTTGCAAAACCTGGTTGCACACAAGGACATTGCCAACTGGTACAGTACATGACATGATTGTGTCACCGCAAACAGCAAAAATAAGATGCAGAGACATCAGTGCAGACGGAAATTAAAATTATCAGACAAACAGATGTTACACCATTCTTTTTACTTTACAGTGTGGCAGTGAGAGAGTTTTTATGCCTGGATGACCCACCTGGGCCCTTTGATAGTCTGGAGGAGAGCAGGGTGAGTGTGTGAACATTTGTACACAATTAGTGAAATGGGGATCACCAGAGTGCAGTGAATGTGTCTGAAGTGATTGTAGTATAAAGACACCTGTGTATGGACCTCTCTTGAATTAGGTCCGTCATTTTAAAGGGGGTAAATATTTATCCAGTCACTTATTTCCCATTACATATTTTTATTTAATTGACATTACTTTGTAGAAAGTAATGTTTTCACTTTGACATTAAAGAGTTTTTGTGTAATTTTTTTTTCTCCAAAAAAGCCAAATTATATGGACCTTGATTGATTTATGAAATTAATAAAAGGGTAAAACATCCAGGCACTGTATGTAAAACCAGCCACTTCGTAACAACCTTTAAAGTATTTTCTATTGGAAAAAGACTACAATGGTTGAAAAACACCTCCAGTAAAACACATCTCTTACCTTTATGTAGCTTTTCTGGGTGTATTTTGGCATCGTCTACTTGTTCTGGTTCCCCAAGTAGCACTTTGTTCAGTACTGCCCCTGTTGGTCAGGGGGTTACCTGCCTCAGCTGGTCCAGTAATGAGAACTCAACCAGCAGTCAGCATGACCACCAAACAGAGAAGGTTAAACCTGCCTAGGTGGTACTAAAGCACTGAATGTGACTTGTTCTGGATCTTGTTTACAAGATTCAGCTGCTGCAGTAATACATAATTTTATTCATAAAAGGAGTGCTATTGATTGCTGCATTATTTGTTTTGTACAAACGGTTCAGTCATTGAGTGCCAGGTTTTTGCACGTTTAGGTCACAGCTGGATACTTTTATTTTAATAAAGAAGGAAAGTATGAGCAGTTTAAGTTAAGAGGAAAATCTTACAGAAAAACGCTGATTTATGTTTTTTCTTCATTTTTTAAGATCGTGACAAATATATCATGAACTTTTTATCTTGGCAATATTGTACCCTAAGTTTTTGGTATTGTTATATCCCTACTGCCTTAGGCTTACATGATGACCTGCATTCTTAAATAAGTCTTCTGCTACTCTGCTAGCCGCGCTTTATTTCTTCAGTCAACAAAAGTCCTCTGTCATATTTTCCCCCTGTTTCCCTCCCTCCAGGCGTTCTGTGAGACTCTAGAAGAGAGCAATTATCGTCTCCAGAAAGAGCTGCTGGAGAAACAGAAGGAGATTACTTCCCTGAAGAGGAGGCTGGAGGAGAGGGAGCAGGTCATCCTGAAACTGGAGAAGCATATCAAGTCAGTAAAAGCACAAAAGTGTGTGTTTAAGATATGGAAATAAGGTATAGACACATAAGTAGTTATTGTAAGACAACAAACCCTGACGCACCTAACACAGAAATACGTCAAGGATTCTGGTTCAGAGATGGAACAAATGGCTGCAGTCTACACACAAGCTACGATTGCTAAAATAACATTAAGTGTAGTAATAACAGCTTGGTTGTGTGTGTGTGTGTGTGTGTGTGTCTGTGTGTGTGTGTGTGTGTGTCTGTGTCTCTCTCTCTCTACCTCTACCTCTACCGTCCCAGTGGTGAATGCATGAGCCTGGAATCTCCATCTGGTTTGTCAGCTCAGTGCAGTGACAGCAGCGCAGATGTGGAGTCGTCCCCTGCAGAGGCTGATCAGGACATGCCCGATGACACTGGGTAAAAAAACAGACACCACACACATGAATAAAATGTAGGAGTACATGTGCTAACAAACGCCACATATGCAGAGACCAAGCACAATTCACACAGCCACACTGACACAAATAATCAACTGTTTAACATTTTTTTGGTTGACGTTATTTTACATAGAGGAAATTGTATCAAATTATGGTTTCCCTTTTGATGTTTTTGCTGCAGTGAAAACAGAATCTGGAGTTCATTTTCAAATGCTTCTCAGGAGTTGAGGGCATGGTTCAGTTCATATAGGTTCACTGTGTCCACCTGAAAAACTGTCCAGGTCACAACGACAGCTGTAGCTTCGACCATCATGTGACTTAGTTTTGTTTGTCGCCATGTTGGCAGGAATGGCATAAACAAAATTAAAAGGGGGTATATGGATTTAAAGCCATCAAAGTTCACTGCACACCTTAATTCAAAACGCATAGAATGCCATCTTGCAGAACACATTAAATTAAACCTGTCTGGCCCCTATAATGTTCCAGGAGTGCTTTTCATAAATATTAAATGGACAAGCTTTCAGACCTGCAGCCCCAGCTTGTACCTCATGTATTTCCATAAGTTTGAGTTGCAGGCATAACCTGCTCATAAACCAAAAACTCAGTACATCTTGACTTTTTTTAAAGTCTCAGCAGCCATTTAACAACCCTAACCCAAGTTCTGATAGTCTGGTATTTCCCATAGACTATATTTCCAGAATCTGATCATCCAGATAAAACAGTAATCTGGTAGGCTAATTAGAAAGACTACTTAGACAGTCTATATCTTAGTGTACAAGGAGGAAGGCAGATTTTTTTCTCATTTCTAATACAGTCAGTGTCATTATCGTGTTCATTTTTTAGTTTCAGGGAGACAGGAACAGGTTTTAGCCAAGCGCTGCTGACAGTCTAGTTGTCATCGGTTTTGAAAACTAACCAGATGATTTTAGAAGCCTAACAGTTACCTCCTGAGAAACTGATTAAATCTTGTTTTTGTGAAGTGGATCAGGTGGTGATTTTGTTTTTTTAATTTTTTTATGGGTGGTTAGTCTATGAGGATTCTGGAAATTGGGTGAGTGTTGTTAAATGACTGTCCACATGTTAGAAAAGGTTGTGGTGTATTCATTTTTGTGGGGAGGTAATTAACAGGTTATCTCTGTGACACTAATATATGGTATGAGAGGCTTAAGCCAGGGCTACAGATCTGCAGTATCCAGCATCTGCAATAACCTGAACTTTTTAGTGTCATCTTAGTTATTACTACCTAGTTATTATTATGACCCAGTAAAGCTGTGGAAGAAGCTGTTGTGATGACGCGAGTTCATGGTATGTGCACCAAACTGGTCAAAGTAGCTTGTGATGGCACAAGATTTCAGCCTGTCATAGGCCTCTTTGTTACAAATGCAAGAATGTTGTGAGGAATTCAGACAGAAGTTGAGACAGGCTTTGGGTGGTCAGGAAGAACTTCCAAATGACTGGGAAACTACAGCAGAAGTGATCAGGGAGACAGGTAGGAAGGTGCTAGGTGTGTCATCTGGAAGAAGGAAAGAAGATAAGGAAATGTGGTGGTGGAACGAGGAAGTACAGGACAGCATTCAGAGGAAGAGGCTAGCTAGAAAGAAGTGACACATAGAAAGGACTGAAGACAGTAGACAGGATTACAAGAAATTGCAGTGTAGAGTGAAGAGGGAGGTGGCAATGGCCAAACAGAAAGCATATGATGAGTTGTATGCCAGGCTAGACATGAGGGAAGGTGAGAAGGACTTGTACGGATTAGCGAGACAGAGAGATAGAGATGGGAAGGATGTTCAACAGGTAAGGGCGATTAAAGACAGAGATGGAAAGGTGCTAACAAGTGAGGAGAGTGTGCAGAGAAGATGGAAGGAGTATTTTGAGGAACTGAATGAGGAAAATGAGAGGGAAGAGGTGAATATTGTAGAGCAGGAAGTAGCAAAGATTAGAAAGGATGAGGTGAGGAAGGCTCAGAAGAGATTGAAGAGTGGAAAGGCTGTTGGTCCAGATGACATACCTGTAGAGGTGTGGAAGTGTCTAGGAGAGACAGCAGTGGAGTTTCTATCTAGTTTGTTCAACAGGATTCAACAGGATTTTAGAGAGTGAGAA